CCGTCTTTAAATATTATAAATACAATTAAAGCCCTGATCACATTTCCCTTTACAGATCTAAACACTATCCTGAGTATTTCCTTCAGTTTGTTTGCTTGTTTAGGTTTTCCACATGTGCATTTTCCCCTACATTTTACGCAATAATGCTTTCTGTATTTTCAGTTAAAGTAAATGGAATCCTATATGCATTCTCTATTGTACATTTTATTCAGCATAGTTTTATTCAACATGGTTTTCAAGGTTTATGTAAATATAGATTTGTAATATATACACTTAGTTAATTTAACTACTATGTAGTATTCTGATGATTAAATACACCCTATTTTATTTTATTTTTAGAAATCCTAATGTAGATTGCTTCTAATTTTTTATAATTATAAACGGTACAAAAATGAACAATTGTTTTGCATGTCTTCTTGACAATTTAGGTTACAGATTATTTAGCATATGTCCATGGAAATATAATTGCTAGATATAATGATACAAATGTCTCCAACTTGAGTAGTGACTTACATTTCCACCAGAATTTCTTTATCAAGAATTGTATTTGATATTAGTCATTCCTGACTACTAGTAGTTTGCTTAGTTTATAGTTTCAATCATTAGGGTTACCTCATGGTCGAGGTTGGCTCCTAGAGTTCAGTTATCATGTCGATACCAGCCTGGCCAACATGGTAAAACTCTGTCTCTACTAAAAATACAAAAATTAGCTGGGAATGGTGGTGCATGCCTGTAATAGCTACTCAGGAGGCTGAGGCAGGAGAATCACTTGAACTGGGAGGTGGAGGTTGCAGTGAGCTGAGATCCCACCACTGCGCTGCAGCCTGGGTGACAGAGCGAGACTCTGTCTCAAAAAAAAGAAAATATATTTGGTGTCAGTCATTCCTGACTGTTATAGTAGCTAGTAGCTTAGTTTATAGTTTCAGTTGTTAAGATTACTTCATGGTCCACATTGGCTCTTAGAGTTCAGCTATCATGTCCATGTGAAGGAAGAAAAGGGGGAAGAACTAAAAGGATTTTCCTGGAGTCATGAACCAATGGTTTTGTGTTGATACCTCTTTGGTTGCCTTTCTTTACATTTAAAGACTAGGAAATGTAGATTTTATCTAGGTACATTGTACAGAGGAAAGGGGACATGTTTATTGAGTATGCTATCAGCATTTACAGTCACAGGTCTTTTTTTTCCTGGTCTGTACTAACATTTGATAGTAAACATTTAATTTTTGGCAGTTGGAAATGGTTTCTCACTTTTAAAATTGCATTTCCTTGATTGGTGAGATACAGAATTTTTTGACACATATTTAGGCTTTTTAAAAAATTGCCTTTGATGTTATTCTACTGTTTTGTCTTTTCCTAATTAATTTAGCATAACTATTTTTCAGGGATGTAAAACAATCTATAATGCAAGTAATGTTTGAATGATACCATTTAATTATAGCCAGCATCCGGTTGTTTAACAAGTATTCTTTGAGTCCTTGCTCTGGCAGAGGTTACATTCTAGTTGGGAATATATATGACAAACATAATAAGTAAGTAAATTACATTTTATATTAGAGGATGGTGAGGGCTTTACAGAACAGAGCAGGGTAAGGGGAATGCCTGGTGGGATGACTTGAACTTTATGTCGGTACAAATGCACTTTATATCAGTGGTATTGATCTTTTGTTTCTTTACATCGAAATAGATGTTTTTGTCTTATTTTTAAACTTTTGGTATGTTGTCCTTGTTTATACAGAGGTATTCATTATAATAGAGTTAAATTTAACAGGTCTTATCTTTTGTGATTTGTTGTTTTTATGAGTATTCCTGGGAAAAATTTTTTTTCCGGCATAAGAGTCATGGAGAGCTCTTACGAAAGAAGTTTTAAATGTTTGCTTTTACAAAATCCATTTGGGAATTTTTGCATATATATTTGTCAATGATTTGATGTCAGAATTTAATTTTTTCTATATGGAAGGCCAGTGGGCCCAGCAACATTCATTGAATAATGCATTATTTTGCCACGATTTGCTTTGTTACTTCTGTCATTGGTCAGACTTCTGTATCTGCATGAACTTTTGCATCTGTTTCTTTGGTGTATTTATCTTTTATTTGTGATGGTTTTATAAAATGTCTTTATCTGGTAGGTCAGTATCTCTTTAAAATTATCTAAGTTATTCTTGGCTCTACTTTAACATAAGCTTTAGGGTCATCTTGTTCAGGTTCTTGAATTCTTAGATTAATTTGGGAGAATTTGACATGCTTATGATCTTCGCATTTGTAATCATGGTCTGCCACTCTTGTCTGTTCAGGTTATTGTCATGTCCTTTAGTAACATTTTATATTTGTTTTCATAAAGGTTCTGCCTATTTTATTATATACATTCCTTGGTGACGTAGTTTGTATCTTTATCGAGAATGACATCTTTTTTACTGTATTTTCTAATGGTTATTATTAGTATATGTTATTGGTTATATGTGGATCTTTAGGAACCATTATGTTACCTTTGTGTTCAGATTTTCATTATTCTCCAGCTTTTTTTTTTTACCCAATAAACCCACATTTGTTAACTTTTTCTGTGTTTCAGACCTGTGGTCATCCTGTTTTCTGCTTGAGCATGACAGTCATGCTGCTGTCACTACTTTTTCAGGCAGCTCACAGCATTTCATTTTTTTTTTTTTAATTGCATTTTAGGTTTTGGGGTACATGTGAAGAAGATGCAAGATTGTTGCATAGGTACACATATGGCAGCGTGATTTGCTGCCTTCCTCCCCTTCACCTATATCTGGCATTTCTCCCCATGCCATCTCTCCCCAGCTCCCCACCCCCTGCTGTCCCTCCCCTATTTCCCCCTGACAGAACCCAGCATTTCATTTTTTAAAATGCAGCTCATTGCCATTGTCGTCTTCTCTGTATGACCAAAAGGAACTGTCAGAGAGATAAGAAAGTTACATTAGGTTATGTTCCTTAAAAATTACAAAGACTTGTTGCTCTGGAGCTCATTGCTCTTTTCTCTCCCCCCTTCTCATCTTCAGTTCTCAGTTTACTTCTTATCTTTATTCTCCCACTCTCATATCCAGCTTTCTCTGTTGTTTGCCCATATTTCCCTTCCTTTTCCCTTCCATTTGGTAAGTATAGTTTTTAGCACCTGCCAGTCACTTTAGTTTGTGCTTTGCATATGTTAACTCATTCGATGTTTGTCACAGTCCACTGAGGATGGTGGGGTAGTCTCATTTCATAGATGACATGAGGAGGCCCAAACTTATGTAAGTAGAAAGTAGGAGAGCTTAGATAATGTCAGGCCTTTCAGACTCCTAACATCTCTGTGTGTGTGTGTGTGTGTGTGTGTGTATGTCTGTGTTTTCAATTTGCTGTATTATAGAGGTTGTTTCTGTCTGCTATTTTTGTAAGTGGATGAGGTAAATGTGCTGTTTGTCTCTGATGAAAATTTTTAGTAAACCTGTTTAGATAGCGTCTCTAAAATAAAGCTGTGTCTGTTTTGGGTGGAGGGTATTACTCGATCTTCCATGAGAGCCATTCTCACAGTGCACTCTAAAGAAAGAGAGGTTTACAGAGAGAAGAAAGATTATATGCAGAAAATATAAAAGTTCACTATGTCAGATATGCTTTACAAAAACATACTATGTATAGCCATTTAGCTACATGATTGTTCTAGAAAGTGGTCCTGTTGTAAGAGTGCATTGTAAACGTTGATAGAAGAAAAGCATTAGGGACACTGGATTCTGTTCATGGGTAGTGTATTTTTCTGGGCAAGTAATTTTACTTTTAATAAGCATTAATCTCTTAGATAATCCAAGGATAGGATTGATTATATAATTATTATATAATTGAAGGATAGGAGATTAGTGGGTAGAAAATCTTTGATGATAACATCTGTCTTTATAAGTAACAACACACAGGACTATTTAAGATAATTTTTTAAAAACTATTTTGATAGTATTTTCACTTTTGTAAGGTACTTTGTAGTTCTTGTTCATCTGTGTATCCTATACTTTTACAGCTATAATCATGGTATTTGCTTATAGTCTTTATTTTTTCATGACTCATGCATACTTCTCATGAACTGTACTGTTTCCAAAAAAATTGATTTTAGATAATCTCTTTAATATTATGCTATCCCCTTTTATAAGATAGTTCATCAGTTTCTAGTTTTGTTTTTTCTTTTTGTAATTTATGAAATATTTGCTTAAGTTACATTCCCAGTCATGGGATGATTCTGTAAAATGGTATCAACACATTTATTTCTATTTTATTGTCAAATTGCTTTCAAATTGGTTTTAAACAATCTATAATGCAAGTAATGTTTGAATGATTCAGTTTAATTATAGCCAGCATCCAGTCATTTAACAAGTATTTATTGAGTCCTTGCTCTGGCAGAGGTTACATTCTAATAGGGAATATATATGACAAACATAATAAATAAGTAAATTACACTTTATATTAGAGGATGTTGAGGGCTTTACAGAACAGAACACAGCAGGGTAAGGGAATGCCTGGTGGGATGACTTGCACTTTATGTCAGTTAAAATGGTCCTCGCTGAGAAAGTGGCATTTGAATAGGGTCTTGAGGCATAGAATTTACTTTATGTATTTTTGTCTTTTTCCTTTTCTTGGCTAATTTAAAAAGTTTATATAGTCTCTTAAGATTACAGTCATCTGTTTTTATTAGTAGGAAAGAATGGTTTTCTACATATTTCCTGCTTTTTTTTTTTTTTTCAATTTTGGCAAAATTTGAAATTTATGTAAAAGCATAAAAGGTCTCAGTATAAAGCTGTCCTTGTCCATACAATTAAAGAGTGGGGAAAATTGGCTTTAATTACATGGTGTTTAAATCTGAGTAGAATATTCTGTTGAGGGCTTTAGTAAGAAAACAAAAATTATTACTAGTTTGAGATTTGAAATAAGAAGAAGATTGTTCCTTTCTATTGTATTTCCATTTTAAGTAAAGGCAAGGTGATATATAAGATATATAAGAATAACAGATATTTGTTATTTTATAGGGTGACTGTTGGATCTGTATGGAACTCATGTCTACCTCGTTTGATAAGTTTTACAAATATGTATATAGTGTATTAGATGATGTTATTCCAGAAGAAATTTTAGGCAAAATCACTTTAGCAGTAAGTACCTGGTCTTTAAATTATTCATTGATATATAATTATATAGAGATGCTGCTGGAGTTTTGAATGTACATATCTGAGTGTCACTCACAGTACCTTCCTGAAAATAATTTATAGTTAATAACCAGAGACAAAGTCACCTCTGTGGGGTAGTTAGTACAATAGATCATAATGGTTTAGATAAATACTGCCAATGTTCTTTTCCTTTGAATCTCAATAAATCATAACAGACTTTTCTTTAAATAAGACTAGAAAAAGCAATTTTCTGTTCATTTTTTTCCATTGCTTTAACTATTTTTAAATTGGTTATATTACCACACTTATCCTGAAATTAATCAGAATCATAGCAGTCTCCTTGAAACCCCATAATTGAATTCCTTGGACAAAGTATATTTACTGTGATTTAAGATTCTGGTTATTCAGTCTAAACTATTTAAAATATTGACTAGCAGTTTTAGGGACCAGGCTTACTACTAAATTTGGTTAATTCACTTTTACCAGAGTACCAAAAAAGAAAAAGGGCACTCTTTTACATATGCGTTTATAGTTTTGAAAGTGAATTCATTGATCAATTTGTTTCTTGCTCTGAATCTTTAAGTTGGCAAATGTTTATACATTTTTTTTTTCTAAAGAAAAAAGATACTTTACTTTTCATAGAGCAAAATCCATAAGATTCTTAGAAACTTCTGAGAATCTGAGCTAGCATGTTCTGGGTTAGTTGATATATAAACAAAATTATATAGGAAGTTGTAAGATAGATACTTCGTTTGCAGGTAATTTCCTAGCTCTTCCTTAACAGCATACTCCCCCTCCAATGTAGTTCACCAAGACATATACCCTTTCAAATAATTTCATAAAAATATTTTATCATTTTATTTTTAAATTTTATAAAAATAATTGTATAAAAAGTAGCTAACTTAGACTAGAAACTTATTCATTATTTAGCTGAGTATATGATATTTTACAATTATTAGTTTGGCCATCTCTCTCCAATATATTAAACCAGTATTATCTTGAAACTTGTTACTATTCATAATTATAACAGTAGAAAAAATGATAATAGCTAATGGTTATAAATGCTTATTTGTACCAAACTATTGGTGACATTTAATCTTCATAGCAACTCTATGGCAAATAGTGTTACCTCATTTTTATGGATGATAAATCTGAAGCATGAACAGATTAAATAACTAACTTGCTTTGAAGTGTATTCGGTTATAAGTGGTAAATGATTTAAATCCAGGCAGCCTGATCCCAGAACCCTGCTCTTAACCACTGTATGACACGGTGGCCATGAAATTAGAATTGCAGTACAAAGAATATATACTGTAAAAAATGATTTATTCCATATTTGCCTAAGTTAAGACATGGTCATCACCTCGTATATATATTAAGCACACATGTACAATTTGTGTTTAGTCTCTTGGTAATCAATAAACCAGCAAAAACAAAAGCATAGCTATTCAACAACAAATTTATGTGTTCTACACTTATTGTACCTAGCAGCTTGATGTCAGCAAAGACTTGACCTTACAGCACATGGTTGGCCTGTTGTGTAGTTCTCCCTTAGTTTGAGGTGTGTCTCTATTTCTTGCCTTCCTGAAGAAATGTATAATTTTCTGATCATGATCAGTGACCAAGCAACAGGATAAATTCTGGATAAATTCCCAGTGGGGAACAGAGATACACTAGCTCTTCGAAAATCACCTTGAAGGCTTAGCGCCCAGTGAGGGTGAATGATTGTGAGGAACTGAGAATTTAGAAAACTTTTTATTTACTACTGGACTTAGAAATTGAAATAGTTTTTGCTTTAAGTTATTATTACTCTTAGTTGAAATAGAACCAACTCAGTGATCTTTGTTGTCCTGTTTTTTAATTTTGAACATTTCAGAGGCCAGGCACAATGGTTCATGCCTGTAATCCTCACAGTTTGAGAGGCCAAGGCAGGAGGATCGTTTGAGCCCAGGAATTTGAGACCAGCCTGGGCAACATAAAGAGAACCTTGTCTCTACTAAAAATTTAAAAAATTAGCCAGGCATGATGGTGTTTGGGAGGCTGAGGTGGGAGCAAGACCCAGTTTCAAAACAAAAAGGAAAAACAAAGACAGGAAATTTTAGGTTGCAGATACAAAAAAAGATAAAATTTTAAATGAATTATTAAACAAATTATAAATCTAAAAGTTACTGGGTTTTTTTGTTTGTTTGTTTTAGCTATCTGGGAACATCATATAAAGGCAACTGAGTTTTTAGATCTGAACTTATTCAGTATCTTTAGTTAATAAGAAATGACAGAATATTGAAATATTAAGCTTAAAATGTATGCAAAAGACTACATGGGATGTTACTTGTAATAAATTGTTGTGCTGTTTGAATAAAAAGAAACAAATTGTTTATCCCATCTCTTCTTTTTCTCCCTAGACTGTGAAAGCACTAAACCACTTAAAAGAAAACTTGAAAATTATTCACAGAGGTGGGTAAGGATTGTTTTTTTTTATTAACAGAGTTTTTTAATAGAAATGAACTTTTTTCTCCTAATTGATAAAACAGTCATTCATAATTACAGTGTCACTGTATAAGCTTTCCTAAAATACTGCTATTTTTAGCAAAAATACTTTATGTACTCTAAAACTCTGTTATTACAATTTTTGGGGGGATTCAATAAATTTTAGTCTAACTTAGTATGTTGGACTTACAAATTGAAATATATTTTGCTGCAAGTTGTTATTACTGTTAGTTATAAAATAATTATTCATTTGCCTGGTAGATAATTAATGTTTTACTACATAGGTATAAGGCATCGAGATGGTCTTGTGGACGGTCAGAAAATAATCCGAGGAATAGTACCCTCAATCATTTTTAAGGCACGCTACTATCCCTGTTAAGTGTTTCTTCTTCACATTAGAAGATGTTTCTAAATTGAGAGAAATCTTTTAATTAGTATGATAAATTGAAATTTCTCTAAAGCATGTTGTATTTGTGTAAATAGTGATCTTGCCCTTATTAGACACACAATTTAAACATTGGATGTAGTTGAATGCCAAACCTAGAAAAGCAGTAACCCTGTGGGAATCCGGAATTTAATCCAGCAAATAGATGAAATGCTTGCTCTGCTTACTGCTGTGTTAGACTCAGGGTAATGAGGTGCTGGCTTTGAGGAAACACCTGAGGTCTCACTACCCCTTAGCAAATTTGTAATGGAAAAGCCTAAGAGAGTACATGGCAGTGTGTGATTTAGCCTGACAATAAATAGGAAGAAAAGTAAAAGGTCAAAATCAAGAGAAGTGAAGCATTTCTAATTCTGGGAAACAATTTCTAGTGGTTAAAGAAATTAGTAATTGGGCCATTTATTTAAGTTCTTTTAGTTTGTGGTTGACACTGGGCCAATGAAATTAGTTCATCTTGAACATCAGTGTATTTTATTTTATTTGGCTTAATGCTTGTTAGAAATAACATCATTTTCTCTTTTGGCCTAAAATTATGTACAATTATATTGCTAAACAAAATTCTTTGTTTCTCTTGTAGTTCTTCTCGTTCTTGTCTTGATTTTTTTTTGCCTTCTTCATTAGCTGTGTTTTGTAATTGTAAGAGTGGCACCTTTTGGGCATTTGATAGTTACCTTAGGGATACTTACTGATCGCAGTAAAGCACCAAGGGTACTGCCTGGGGAGTGGTTGAATAAAAAATCTTCATAAGTAACTTTTTCTCTTACTAAATAAAATGATGAATTTATAGCTGTCTTTTATTAGTTAGGATCAGTTAGCTTTTTTGTTGGAGTGGTGTTTTTGATTACAAGTAATAAAAATCCTGATAGCTCTCTTTAAACTTCAAGGAAATTCATTATCTGTTGTAATAAGTCCAAAAGTGGGGTGGCTCAAAGCACGATATGACTAGGAGTCGAGCCCGCTCCTTTTGCATCTGTCCTTCATGTGTTGTCTCTGATCTCAGGGTAGTAATAACTAGAGCAGTTCCCACTATCATATCTAGAAGTGACTGCCTTTTGAGAACCTGTACAGCTATATTGGGAGCATGGAAACTTTTCCCACATCTCTAATACCTTTTATTGGCTCATTCAATAGAAGTGTCTCATGCCCTTAAACCTTAAACCAGCTACCATCAAGGAGCATGAGATTAACCTTATAAAACTTATGTCAGCCACCAGCTACGTTTTGGAGGTGTGGATGTTGAGGAGAAGAAATACCTCAATAAAACACAGTTTCCATTAGAAAGTATGGATGGGGCTGGGCATGCTGGCTCATGCCTGTAATCCCAGCACTTTGAGAGGCCACGGCAGGTGGATCACTTGAGGTCAGAAGTTCAAGACCAGCCTAGCCAACATGGTGAAACCCCATCTCTACTAAAAATACAAAAATTAGACTGGCATGGTGGCACGTGCCTGTAATCCCAGCTACTTGGGAGGCTGAGGCAGGAGAATTGATTAAACCCAGGAGGCGGAGGTTGCAGTAAGTAGAAGTTGAACAACTGTACTCCAGCCTGAGCGAAAAAGAATGAGACTCTGTCTCAAAAAAAAAAAAAAAAAAAAAAAGTATGGATGGTTAGGAATGGATGTTTGATAGGCCGACAGCTGCTTTAATGATAGTAAGAGATCTTTACTGAAGTTTTTTATGGGTCACCTTCTGAGTTACATTTAGATGTTTTCTGCATCCTATATTTTAAAACTATATTTTTTATTCATTGAGCCAGGATAGTGACAAGGACATGGATGGAAGAACTGAGATATGGATAGAGAATTAGTTGGTATGTACTGGTAGTGACTTGATTGTCAGTGAACGAAAGGGATTTGACATTCCTTATATTTTGACTGTTATGCAGTGAATCTGAACTAAGTAAATGAATTTGTAAGCCTCTTGATGAAAACAATTTAATGCCTAAATTTCTTGTGAAACTTTTTTTTGTATATTTAGTTTTTAAGCACTGGCATTCAGAAAATTGTTTTTCTTTCTCATTTTCAGTAGAAGAAAACAATTGTTTTGTCTGTTTTTTATAAACATGAAGATGTTAAGAGAAAAATCAATCTACATCTATATCTTATAGATTAATAAGATGTTTGTTAAATGACTTTTGCTGTTACATTTGCATAATTATAGTTATTAAAGCTACATGTTTAAAACATGAATAATTATTGTAGGTGACAAATGAAGATGTTTTACTTCTTATATATCTGAATTTAAAAAGTTGGCCACTTATGTTGACTAAGGTTTTTCAATATTTTTGCTGAAAGTGAAGCCTTATGTAACTTAGGAAGATATTAATTGTATACTGAATGGCATCTATCTCTTGTAGATATCAAACCTTCCAATATTCTTCTGGACAGAAGTGGAAATATTAAGCTCTGTGACTTTGGCATCAGTGGACAGCTTGTGGACTCTATTGCCAAGACAAGAGATGCTGGCTGTCGGCCATACATGGCAGTAAGTGTTAAGTCTAGGCCTTCTTGCCTGATACTCATTGCACAGAGAGCCTGTGCTCTTTCGTGCTGTAATTCTAAGGAATCTGCCCTTAGTCATGTGGTTTTACAATGAAACTGCTAGACTATTTCCCTTACTCTAAGGTCCAAGCTCAGGTCCTAGCATCTCCACGAAACTTTGCTAAATTATCCCACTCAGCTCCTGTTTTCATTGTCTTGCTTTATTTCTCTTACTTGGTATTTACCAGTTGTGGTCTTCTCTGATTATTGTTTTTTCATTATATTCAATTCAACTCATCAAACAGTTGGTAACTTCTCAGAAAGTTCCCAGCATCCCTTAGTGAGACAAATGGAAAGCCTTGAGTTCATAGCATAATTCACTGTGTAACAGTCTGAAGCTATATGTTTTAATATTGTTAGTCCCTTTTTCAGGGGTAGATGAAGCACACCAACAAACGCAAAGGTGGAGGCCTTCAGTATTTTGCGACCTGAAGCCTCTTTTCCTGCAAAGAGACAGATGTACACTGTCCATCCATAGATATCACACTCATCTTACCCTAGTAAATTTGTATACAGTGTTCCTACAGCCTGAATTTTGATCTATATTTTAATGAGAATTTAGTGTCTGTATTTTAAACATTCCCCTAGGTGTTGATGTCTTTCTTCAGTGTTACCATGGTTCTTTGGGGACCAGCACACTATTCTAAATGTGACACATAAGGTGTTGTGTTTGTTTCTTGAGGCCTTCCTGCCAGCAGCATTTCTGTCTTTGTAGACTCTTTTAAACTAAAGATAACTTAGAATTGAATAAAATTTTTCTCTTTCTTTACTTGTTAGTTTCCTCTTGATATATATGTTTTCAAACCTAGCGCCATAAATAATATAAAAGTAAGAATCACAGGCTAGATATTACAGATGTTCTATATTGTTTATGAGTGGATAGGCTTAGTGCTACTAAAATTTCTCACATTGCATTTTTTAATACCTCTTTTGGTTTTGTTATATCTTTCTGTATCACCTTTTATTCAGATGAAAATGTAAAGGGTGTATGTGTCTGTTTGTAGTCACCTAACCTGTGTGTTAAGACCTTCTTTTAAACTTCTGGTTTTATGCATATTGACTGGCCGGGCAGATTCTTGATTCAGTTGGAAGACTGAATGTGTCTAATATGTGTTATCATAATAGCTAGGGATAAATGGCACAATAGCTTCAAAGGCAAGAAATAAAAATAATTAGTTTTTTTATATTTATTGTAATAAATAATAATTTGGAAAATGATGTGATTTACACATTTATTAAGGATAATGAATAATCCTGAGAATGAATTGAAATTGTTATCTGCAGTTTTAAGGCTTGTCTCAGTACTAAAAATGTTTTTGTTGTATGACACTGGCTAAGAATTATATTTGATTTAAGCAGGCTTTAAAAATGCAGTTGCAGCTCAGATAAAGTAGAATATTTTGAATTCAGCTTTTAAAGAAAGACGCAGACTTTCTTCATTCTTGTGCAGAGATACGCTTTGCAGGCCCAGGAGATGTAAGACTTCTGTTTTCCTGCTGGCCTTCATCTGTGGAACACAAAGACTGATAAACTCTCTGCCTCTAATCTTTACTGAACCAAATGAAATTCTTCTGTCCATTCTTGTCTTTCAAGGCGTATTTTGATAGACAAGAACTCAATCAATGTTAATTCAAGTGGTTTGACTTTTCTTCGTGTATTGACAAAACATATCAGAGGTGTATCATTTTATTTGAGATTTAGAATTGTCTAGTGTACTTAGGATTACGCATTAGATTGTGCAACATCAAAAAAGTATATAAAATATAGAATTTACACATAAATTTTTCCATAAACTAATTTCCTGTAAACATTTTCCCAACTCTGCACCGTCATATAGGTATTCAGTTATATGTTGCTTAACCATGGGAATATGTTCTGAGAAATGTGTTGTTAGGTGATTTTGTTGTTGTGCAAAATCATAGAACGTACTTAGACAAACCTAGGTTTTATAGCCTACTACACACATAGGCTATATGGTATAGTCTATTGCTCCTAGGCTACAAGCCTATACAGCATGTAACTATATTAAATACTCTAGGTAATTATATCACAACAGTAACTATTTGTGTATCTAAATATAGAAAAGGTACAGTATAAATATGGTGTAAAGGAGATAGAAAAGTGACGTGCCAGAGAAGAGGTGGAAGACTACCAGGCTTCGGAGGAGACTGCTTTTGTTGTTGATGAAGTGAGCAAATTGTAAAAGGAGCTATGCTTGGTGGTAACACTTATCAACACAGCAAAGTGAACCAGTGGACCACAAATGTAGCAGAACAAACTTTAAGCCAACTCACCAAGCTGGGAAAACCATTTAAATACATTGTGACCTGTGTAATTAGGCAAAAGGATGGAGCTGGAATACACATGGTAGGTTCCTGCTTCTGGGACAGCCCTGCTGATGGGAGCTGCACTGTGCAGCGGGAGAATATAACCATGTACTGCATTGTTGGTGCCTTCAGACTATCTATCAGATCTCCTAGTCCAGCCTATGAACTTTCTCCTTTTGTCTCAACATTTCCAGTTCAGCTTCTAACACCAGCCATGAATTCAGTGAATTCTTTTTTTTTTTTTTTTTTTTTTTTTGAGACGGAGTTTCACTCATGTTACCCAGGCTGGAGTGCAATGGCGCGATCTCGGCTCACCGCAACCTCCGCCTCCCGGGTTCAGGCAATTCTCCTGCCCCAGCCTCCTGAGTTGCTGGGATTACAGGCACGCGCCACCATGCCCAGCTAATTTTTTGTATGTTTAGTAGAGACGGGGTTTCACCATGTTGACCAGGATGGTCTCGATCTCTTGACCTCGTGATCCAGCCGCCTCGGCCTCCCACAGTGCTGGGATTACAGGCTTGAGCCACCGCGCCCGGCCTAGTGAATTTTTTTCTTGTTCTTTTTAAGTGCGCTTTGAGGCACTCTCAAAATGTAGAGAAAAAAACCAAAAGACCACACTTACATGAACTGTGCACTGAAGTCAGATGACTATCCCTACAGGGCACCAGCAGCCTGCGTTGCCACTTGCAACTCTGAATATTTCTTTTCAAAGGTGCTAAAATCTGAAATCTGCTAGTGTGAAACTTGTTCAACTCTCTGAAATGATTCAAATACACAAACTTTCCATACTATATACTTTTGTTAGAATAGATTATTCAAATCTAAAGCAAAATATGGTATGAAAAAGTAAATAGTGGTTCACCAGTATAAGGCACTTATCATGAATGGAGCTTACAGGACTAGAAGTTGTTCTGGATGAATCAGTGAGTGATAAGTGAATTTGCAGGCCTAGGACACTACTGTAGACTTTCTAAATTAACACTATACACTTAAGCTACACAACATTTATAAAATTTTTTTTCTTCAATAATAAATTAACAGTGTACTGTAACTTTTTTACTTTATACACTTTAAAAAATTTTTTTTGACTTTTTTTGTATTAACATTTCAGCTTAAAACACGAACACATTGTACAGCCATAAAAAAGTATTTTTTTCTTTATATCTTTATTCTGTAAGGCTATTCTGTTTACTTATTTATTCTTTTTAAGCTTTTCTGTTAAAACCTAAGACATCACCCTAGGCCTATACATGGAAGGATCATTAAAATCACTGTCTTCTACCTCCACATCTTGTCCCACTGGAAGGTCCCCAGGGGCAGTAACACACAGGAGCTGTCATATTCTATGGTATCAGTAGTGCCTTCTTCATAATTCCTCCTGAAAGACCTGCCTGAGGCCGTTTAAAGTTAACTTTTGTTTTTAATAAGTAGAAGGAATGTACTCTAAAATAATGATAAATAGTATCATACAGTAAATAGGTAAACCAGTAACATAGTCATTTATTATCAAGTATTGTGTCCTGTACATAATTGTATGTGCTGTACTTTTAAATGACTGGTAGAGCAATAGGTTTGTTTAAAACATCACCACACACGTGAGTAATGTGTCGATCTACATTATGAGAGCTATGATGTCACTAAGAGATAGGAATTTTTCTGTTCCATTATAACCTTATGGGACAACCTTTGTATATGTGGTCTGTCATTGACCAAAATGTTGTTTTGTAGCACATGACAATTTCTGTATGTGAGTATGTGTGTGCCAAACCACTTGAAAGTAACTTGCAGATACTTTGCATTTTATTCTAGACACTTCAGTGCATATCTCCCAAGAAAAAGACCATTCTTCTGCATAATCATAATCATGATATCATTACCATGCCTAAAAAAACAAACAAGAATGTCATAGTACAGTTTGAGCATCCCTATTCTAAAAATTCAAAACCTTAAATGCTCTAAAATAGGAAACGTTATCAGCACTAGCATGACCCAAGTGGAAAATTCACCTGACCTTATGTGATGGGTCACATTCAAAATGCAGGTGCACCACACATTGTTTATTCAGTGGTCCCAGGGTAAAAAAGACTCTCCTAGCCCCCTTTAGCTGCAATATGTCTTTTCCACATATGCCCAGATTTTCCCCACATAAGCACGCCTACAAAGGGTAATAAAATGGAATGTATGGAGGCCAGATGTGCTAATGACAAGTTTCACACTATGCCCCACATGGGACCAAGACCTACCTGCATTACTCACTGTATTTTTATTTTTTACTTTTGCTTATTTTCTGCTCAGTAGCATAAAGATAATGTTGAAAATGTCAAATAGGCCTGCAGATATCCCTAGAGAAACAGCAGTTTGTTAAAGGGGAAGTGTTTATAGCACAGAAAGTCAAGCTGTTAGAGACACTGGACAGTGGTGTAAGTTTGAAATGTCTTACAGAAAAGTGTGGTATTGTTATGACCACCATATATGACCTGAAGAAACAGAAGGATAAACTGCTGAACTTCTGTGCTGAAAGTGATGAACAAAAGTTACTGAAAAATAGAAAAACACCACATATAGCTAAAAAGGAAGATCTTAATAATGTATTGAAAGAGTGGGTCTGTCAGCCGCA